TTTATCGGGTCTAAAACCACTCGGCTGCGCCTCGTGTTTTATACCCGATAAAACACTCCTGCTCGTTTATTAAACATTACTTAGTAGACCCTAATTCCATTGTGTCCTTTTGTAGTTATTTCACTATTACACACGATATCTGTTTCACGCGTCTATGAAAATCGCTACTTCGGCGGCCAATTTGGATCGCCAACCTGAAATGTACAGGGGTGTTCAGGGTGCAAGATGACTTCAATTGATAATTTTTAAAAAACCAACAAAAGACGAATTAAGACGGCACATCGATCATCTTTACCCATAAAAGAAAGACAAACACGAAATTATATTTGCTCCGTCATCTTAATTAATTTTGTTTTGTTTTGCTCTCATAATTTATTCTGTACTGGGGTTCCTGTGGTACTTTTCTCGGAAGTGTTGACTCGACTAGGCAGACATCTTTCGCTTCCCCATAAAACATCAAGATGAAAGACAAAGGCCACGATATTTAACAAGCTACATTAACAGTATCGATATCTATCGTATTTACTTCTTCTTACGAAGTTGGGGACGAAATTTCGACGTTACGTGCCGAAGAATTAATGAAACGAAAAACGCGGAAAGCCTGAAGAAAAGCTACATCTTCGTTCATCTTGTCTCAAAAACGACTATTCGCAGCCTCTCTGCTACTTTATTCACTGCTACTCAAAGAAGAAACATTTCTAAATACCTAAGGGAACGTTTACTAAAGTTCAACAACGAATAAAAATCCTTTTTTTTTTTTGCTTGAATAACCATCAGCTATTTTCCTTCATTAAATAGGGTAAACTTTGAGCTACGTCGAGAAATTTTAGCACACCTTTTATTGCTTAGTTATCATTTATAGTTAATCCAATGTTTTCCGACGATGAAGAGCTGTACTACTACACCAGGCGAGATTATGCCTATGATACTGATGACAGTGGTCCATACTATGATGATGATGATTACTACGATGACTATGATTATTATGATAGCGATAGTGAGGCCAGATATGCCAGGAGACTTGCTGAATACAAGATTAAGAGTGAAAAGGAAAAACTATCAAAAGAATTGGAAGATGGCAAGAATAATGCCGATAACACCCCAAAAGTGTTTCAGTGTAGCTCACTGGTTAATATCTGTGCAAGATATTTGGCATTAAACTTCCCTTTCGCATACCTTCAAGACAGGTTTCCACCTATACCAGATRATCTGCAGCTGAAAGTGATTAGGTTTTCATTTCCAGACAGCGAGGAGAAGATTAGAAAGTATGCAGAGTTTAGTCGGTCGGGAGCAGATATAAACTATCCATCAAAACTGTGTAGTGCTGGCAAAGTGAAAGATATGATGCAGATAGGTAAGCATTTTGTTTATTTGAACCATTATATAATAACATGTAATAAATCTCACTTCCTTATTGGTCGTTGGGTGCATGCTTTATGTGAGCACAAAGCACACAAGCACTACACTTTTTCATCCTTCATATTCAAAATAATGGTTGTCTAACAGTTGGGCAATGAATGTTTTATTAGTTAGAGCAGGCTGATTATTTTGATCATTTTTGACATTAAGAGGAAATTTTTTTCAAGAATAAGCAATAATGGCAAAAAGCGCCAAAAACTAGACTTTCGTATGAGTGTTGATCCCAATTTTCGTTTTGGGTTAATTCTCAAAACCTTTTTWAAACAGTTAGAAACTTATGTACTATGATAAAATGCCTGTTTGAAACAGTATTTTCAATTGTACAAAAAGATGTTTTGTTGCATTTGTGTTAGGATGTTGCTTTGTCAGCTTTTTTATAGAAAATATATGGGAAATAAGCAAATGAAGGTCTAAACCTCATTTTTGAATAAAAGTTTTGCTTTGGGTTAACACTTTGATTCCACTTTCATCGGTCCTCTTCACTTCAAACAAGTTAAACTTTCTGAATAACAAGATTTTAGCCGTGTACAACAGCCTTTCTTCAAGAAAATAGTTATTGGCCCTCACTGCTTGAATACGAAAAGAATTCTTTCTTAATATAAAAGTATTATGTGTGAGTATTCAGTGAAATTTATCTAGCATAAACTTGAAACTGTTTACATTAATCTTCGTAGGGTTTCGACTAAGTGCCAGCGTGGAAGACAAGTATGTAACAATTCATTTTGATCGTGGTAAGATCACTTCTGCACAATGCACCTGCGACTCCTCATCAAGCTGGTGCCTTCATGTCATTGCTACTGCTTTGATGAGAATCCGAAATGCCGACAGCCTTGACCAATCCAAAATGAGATTGCCTGTATCAGATGCTCTGAATGACCTAAGCCGTGAACAGCTTTTGAAGTTTTCGGAGTATCTTTTGTATCATCACCAAAATCAAAAAATTGTGGAGACTGCGCAGGGTTTGATTGACAAGTTGGTGAATCGCCATGGTGACTATAGTGAGGACCAGATTAATGTTGTTGATGGAGCTCCAGACCCTACTGCTGGACCAGGTATGTGAATACTCAGGGATTTCAGATGCAAGTAAGGGTTAGCAGAGCTCAAGCTACCCAGTAGTGCTTTACCATTTTAGTTTAAAATTATTTCTTTAATGATAGACCTTTCCTGAATTCACTTGGATGACCATGAAAAATGGTTTGAAGAACTGAGATTGAACTTGATTCATTTATTCATCAAGGGCAACCTCGGCTCAAAACCATTGTTTTGTGGTCATTCAGGCGAATTTGAGACAGGTATATTCCAGTAAATTTGCACACTAGGTAATCCTATGGGACTGAGTAAAATTAAGTATTCATTCCAGGAGTGTTTTCAGAGTTTTGAAATTGTTGCATTTATGTAATACATGTAATCAGTATGAGTGGCTCGAGGAGTAGGCGAGAGTTTGTATATCGGATACAACACGGACACGAATACTGTAGATTGCTTATCAAACGTCTAAGTTAGTTCCTTTGTGTTTCACTGAAATTTTCAAAATTAAAGTGAATCTGCCCAAGAAAATCCAAGTTAAAGTTTATGCAAATGAACACGATTCTGTATCTGATTTACAGAACTCTTTACGGTCGTGATTTCTATTGTGTTTTCCTCATGAATTATTAATGAGTTTGATAATATAAATTACAATCTTTGATATTAAATTAAAAATAATTAAATTCTGCTTTTGAAAATTCAAAATTTGATATCATAATAAACTGTATTTCATTCTCATTCATATCCTTGAGTAAAAACCTACAAATAAATACATTTATCAAGTCAAGTTCAATCGATATTGAGGATTGTAGCCAAATACTCTCTGCCAGCAATTGTCTGGATATGTAGTGAGTAACTTTTAATCATTCATGATATTTTTTTATTTTTTTAGGCATTGATGAAGAATGTCATTGGTTTGTGTGTACTACAGGCTTCAAGGAAAATTGTAGTAATCTGATCTATGAGCCAGCAGACAATTTAGGGTTTGCACCGTTAGAAAACAAGGATGATAATACTCTTCTTCATGAGCTGTGGTACAGAAATCGATGTAATTATCCATTAGTACAAGGTTAGTAGGTATCATATATCCTCTGGCTGAATTTCACCCGGGGGGGTACTACCACCCCAACTTAGGGGTGTGCTGCCATGACCTCAAAACCCTGACCCTATCCCAGACCTAAAATTTTGATTTTACATACCCTACCCCAGACTACAACTAAGAATTGTACACCCTATCCCAGACTAAAAGACAGAAAAGACGTTTTTTCAACAGATTGCAATCAATATTTACTAACGTTTTTATTGTTTTTGTGCCGGCAGAAAGCGTAGCCTATTCGCCAGACAAAAATGACCAAGTCGTTAACCCTATCCCAGAATAAAATGATACCCTATCCCAGACAAAATGTCAAAAAATGATACCCTACCCCAGACCCAAAAGCCAAAAAACCATACCCTATAGGGCGGCACATACCCCTATAGCAAATATAAGGGAGTACCCCCCCCCCCCCCCCCGGGGAATTTCACAGCTGCCTATGTCATTGATTTTGTTGTTGTTGAGAAGAAGAGGGTTCAAAGCTCAATAAGTTTCTTTCTCAGAAGATGAGGTGCTTTAATATTCAAGGGGGTTGATGCAATAGAGAATTTTTGGTAATCATACAATGCCTGCTTATGACACACATTGGAACACATTAGAACATACCTAGTATCAATTTGTATTTTAAAATAATTATAAATTATACACTTGCGCATGCTTGAAGGCTTGGGGAAAGTTTTCACCTACATCTTGACCTACATCGATATAAGCATCTCTGGATATTGATTAAAAGTGAATTATTTCTCCTGACTTTCCTTTTAAAACAAATATTAAATAGAATATAAAATAGTTAGTGGAAAGCACAGCTGGTGTGCACTGCTAATGCATTGCATCTCATCAATGTGACCAGGGTTTGAGTCCTGCTGGGCTTGGAGGAGTCCTGCTGGGCTTGGAGTCGTATGTGGCCAGAGTCGTATGTGTGTTTGTTGGTTCTCTCCTGTGTTGCGAGACGTTTTCTCTGGGTTATCTGGCTTTTCTACCTTTAATTCTTAAATGTACCTAAATATCAACCTTTATATTCCAATTTGATCTTCTGTCTAGGAGATATTTTCAATAAAATATATATAAAATAAAATAAATTTTCAATTTTGCTCTATATATTGTAATCAAAACGGTTATTCATCTAGACGTTTAGAAGAAGAATTTACAATTTTTATCAAGTATTCCAATTTTTCCAACCCTTAAGCCCCGTTTACATTGGCGATTTTTGCGGCGATTTATGCTGCGATTTTCGTGGCAATTTTCAGGAATATTAAATCTTTTGCCTCATCCTTTAAAAGAGACATTAATCTGGGAAAATCTTGGTATTCTGGAAAAAACTTTACAAGTAAATTCTTTACCATTATTTATTACGCATTTATAATGGACAGAATCGCAAAAAAATCGCAGCAAAAATCGCCGCAAAAATCGCTAGTGTAAACGGGGCTTTAAAGTGTCTGTTGATTATTTACGAGAAATTTTATTCAAATAGTTCCGGGTCTTTTTCAGATGATATTGATACTGAAGTTGGTTCTGAATTCTACTGCCCATACTCACTAGAGCGCCGTCAAGATTCTTCCAGAATCTTAGAGACAGTTTTAGAGCTGTTGAAAGATGACAGCATGAGTGGTCTCATTGCCATAAAGTCCTGCACAGAACAGGTGCTGTCACGTCTCGAGAAAAAAGGATCCCCTTACGAATCACGCCGTTTGCGCTCATCTACATTACAAGAAGTTAACAAGCCTCTCTATCCCTGTGGGTCGCCAGCTATGGGGTTTACAGCTCGGCCTTTTAGGTAAGTGAATATGTGGCTGGTTGACTAATGATACAGTCGACTCTCTTTGAACGACCACTCTCGTAAGCGACCATCTCCCATAAGCGACCACATTTTGAATTTCCCGTTTTGTTCCCCATATAAACTCTGCAAAAAAAACTCTCTCGTAAGCAACCACTCACGTAAGCGACTGCGTCCACCTTTGGGGTTAAAATTTTGGAATTTTTCATTGTTTTTCCTCTCCCGTAAACGAGCACCCAAGAGCCAGTCAATGACAGATCCTTTAACAATAAAATATTTAAGAACATAGAATCATCGGGTATTGAAAACCCGACGAAATATTGACAATTACACTACTGTAAACATGTAGCACATTCAAAATTTTGATCAAAACATTTTAATCGTTAATACAGTAGTTTTTACACGTGAGTTACAAAATTATAAATGGTTTAGGCTTCCTGTGTTGGGATTCCCATTGTTTGGGCTTCCTGTGTTAACTCTCGTAAGCTGCCATCTTCCGTAAGCGACCACTCTTTCCTGGCCCCGAGGCGGTCGCTTACGGGAGAGTCGACTGTATTCAGCTTTTAAAAGATAATGTAGCTGTTATTCTTTTAGAAGTTCAGGTCGGGCGAGTTCAAGTGCAGTTTAGCCGCATATTTTTTTTGATATGCAACTGTGTTGCTGTTATTGTTGCTGTTTCAGTTTCTGTGACTGCTATAGTTGTATTTGTGGTTGTAGTCGTTTTGTCGCTGGTATTCACTAAGATTTCTGAGTATGAGTTTCATAAAAGCGAAAACGAGAGGATGCATTAAAAGGGTTTTTTCTGTGATGTGTGTACGTCTATGCAGAAATATAAGTGAGATCGAAAATTAGAGAAGTTTTATTATGATTGACAAAGACATGGTGCCTTGCCATGGACAAAACTGCAAAATTTCAATTGTTGTTTATAATCTGTATCCTCTTTCGCTTGTACTGTGGGCATGCATAGTGTTGTTAGAGCAGTTTTCGTATGACGGTGAAAAGCTCAGTGCCGTATGCGTGCCGTGCCGTAACCGTGATGTTTTCTAGAATTTTGATTGGCTGATTGTTTTCTCGCGCAATGTGATTGGTCTGGCAGTGCCGTGACATTGGCGTGACCGTGTCCGCGTCGTGTTCATTCCGTGTTTTGGGCATTTAATTGGATGGAGAGTAGAATCCCACGCAATGTAATTGGTCTGGCAGTCCCTAGACTTTGGCCTGACCGTGTCTGCGCTGTGCGTTTTGGAAGGAGAGTAAATTCTCTCGTGCAATCTGATTGGTCTGGCGTATGAATTGCCGTGTCACGACCGCGTTTGTGCAGCGAGCGTTACAGTCATACGAAAACGAACTGCTCTGTCGTTCAACTTTCTTTACGAAAGTTATACCAGGGTAATGATCTTGGAGCTGTGATTGGTGGGCTGTTTATCCCGCATGAACCGTGACCATGTCTTTCTGTGGGTTTCTAGCTACTTTATTTTGCGTAATATTATTAGGTGTTGGACTCTGTGTGATGAACTCTCGGTCCTGTGGCAGCTTGCTGTACTCAACCCAAAAATGAACTTGAAAGAAAAACAGCAAGTCAGTCTTGAATTGATGAAATGGAGCGAAGAAGGTAACAACGCCCACGATTTTACATGTGTTGTTTTGTCTATCTGCCCGCCTGTAACTGTGTAAGTGTATCTCTATGGCTGTCGATCTGTTTTTCCATATACCAATATTCCTGTCTGTCTGTCCGTCCATCCGTTTGTCTGTTTGTCTGTCTGTCTGGTTGTCTGTACATCTATCTGTTTGTCTTTCTGTCTTTCTGTCTGTCTGTCCATCTGCATGTCTGTCTGTTTTTTTGTTTTTGTACATCTATCTGTTTGTCTTTCTGTCTGTCTTTCTGTCCATCTGTCTGTATGTCTGTCTGTTTTTTTGTTTTTGTACATCTGTTTGTCTTTCTGTCTGTCTGTCTGTCCATCTGTTTTTTTGTCTATCTCCCTGCCTGCCTGTCTGTCTACACTTAGGTATTTTCTTTCTCTGACTTCCTGTTTCTCCGACTTGCTTTTGTTTAAGTGTCTGCTTGTCTGTCTGTCTGTCTGCCTGTTTGTCTGCCTGTTTGTCTGTCTGTCTGTCTTTCTGTTTGTATGCTTTTCTCTTTACCGCTCATCTATTTATCCTCTCTTTTCCCTATCGTCACAGCCGCAACAGGCTGCTACATCGAAAAGCTCAAGCCATGGAAAGGTCTAGAAGTGGCGTACAACCTATGCCAATACATCGACTGGCATCAACCTCACATGCAGGCCATACTACAGGATAAAATACCTTCCAACTATGCCATCAATGGATGCACACTAGTACATATAAACGCTGAAAGAACCACTGTCAAGAAGTATCCTTCCATAACCTGTCATCTACCGTACAGTTTCTATTATGGGTCAATAACTCTTGATATCCACACTTGGTGTTCAATCATCAACGCCTTACAGGTACATAACTACAGAAAACCTGCTGTACACATCGCTTTTGGCCTCGCCCTTGGCTTTATTTCTCTCTTCCGCAACAACATCGAAACAAGAACTCGGTTTTCGAATATCCCTGTTTTGAATAGCTGTACTCTTGATCACAATTCAAAACGCTCAGAGAAAATCGCCGAGGAGGATGGAGTTGAAGGCATGGATATCGATGACGAGAAACCTGGAATATCTTGTGCTGAGATATGGCCTGCAGATACACTGCTGTCTCTACGCTGCTTCGCTTTTCTGTGTGAGTTCTTGTCAAGGAACGATGACGAAGTGGAATCTTTGATTACTTCGCACAAGGGGCTGGGTCCTGAGAATAGTGATCTGGCCACTTCTCTGAGTAAGATTTCTAGTGCAAATTCGCTTCGGTTTCAAACTGCGGCGATTGGTTTGTTTTTACCGAGGTTTCCAATGGCAGTCATGAGGCAGGAGGTAAGAGATTATTTTTCATCATACTATTACTAATTAATTTAGACCAGTCAGAACGAACGAATGAATGAATGAACGTGTGAGTAAACCAAAGAATGCATTTTTTTTCAACGAATGAACGAATGAATGCGTGAGTGAGTGATCGAATATATGTGTGAGTGAATGATTAAATGAATAAATGAAATAAAATAAATAAATTGACTTTATTTAACGAGGGTGACATACATTACTGGTAACCCAGTWGTTTCCATTATGGCCCTCCTACAATTAATAAACTGAAATGAAATGATCAAAGAAACAGAAATTGTGTTAAAAATCCCAACTGGCAAGGAGGCAAACCAGTTGGCTATTTACAAGCATGGTCGAGAATCTGAATCTGAACTAATCAGTGACCAGGACAAATACAGTCTCAGCTAGTGGCCAATGAATGCCTAACTGTTTGATGGATAGCTGGTTAGATGGATGGATGAATGGATGCATGCATGGATAAATAGAGGAATGGTTGTATGGATGGATGAATAAATAAGTACCTGATTCGCTAGATGAATTACTGGATGAATAAGAAATGAGTGCATAAAGGAATAATAGATGTGATGATCAACACATCTATCATTATTTCACCACAGTTCTACCCATTCAATGTTCACACTTATTACATATAGTGGCTTGATGAACCCAACGAAAATGACAGCTCGCCAACAGGATTGGCTTCATAGCTCAGCTGGTAGAGCATCGCACCGGCATCACAGAGGTCATGGGTTCGATTCCCGTTGAAGCTTGAAATCATTTTTTCAAGTCTTTCTTTACAGCGTTCCCTTAGATCGCTCATTCACTGTGATGATCAACACATCTATCAGGAATAATAGAGTTGATCAGGGATAGTTGAATAGTGGAGTGAGTAAATGTAAACGAATGCATATTGAATAAACCTTCGAAAGAATGGCATAAATATATAAATGGAAAAAAGCAACATCAGCAAAAAACAAAAACAAAATACAATCAAACAAATTAACTTATGGTCTCAAAACATTTGTTTGTTTTATAATGTTACCAGGCAGAACAATACGACCTCGAGAATTGGCTGTCCTCTCAACTACTCGAATCCAAACCAACACCAGATGACATGGGTTTCCTGAACCATCTGTGTACGGTGGCTCTAAAGGATGGCAGTCACTGGCCTCTATCTCCTCCTTGTTCTTTCACCAGAATCACTCTTCATCACTGCTTCAAGGATTCGAATTCCTCGGCTGTAGCTGTGAGTAATCCATTACAAAACAAGGCCCTTATACTTGAGCTCGCGTTCCAGGTATTGGATTTTACACAAGTCGTAGATTCCCATGGTTGGACTTTGTTCGAGTTTTCGACTGCCGTTTCCTGGTCTAAGCTTGCCGAGCTGTCGCTGAGTTGTTTGGCGGGCTTTACGTCTTACACAGAGCGAGCTATGACGTCTATTTTAAAGCAGAGTGGCATCTTTGGGCCTGGGAAACACAACCACCTCGTTAAAGCATCCCCTGAGGAAATCCGAAGTAGTAGGCAATGGATAAGGACTACAATGGATGGAAAGAGCAAAATCTGTTTCGCTCTTGCCAAAGCCTTAATCACACGTCTAAGAAGGTCATCATCTAAGAAGGGCTCAAACCTGACTAGCAGGATAGTCCCACTGAGGGAACTATTCAGCAGTACCCGAAACAAACTTATTGATGTGTTCCCTAAAATCGAGAGCCCCTTGGCGATAATGGCCCTGAAGAAGTGTGCCATACGCCTTGGTGCGCACAGTGTGTACTTAGAGAAGACGTCGAATAGGAGTTACAGCCACGGGTCAGCTATAAGGTAAGGTAGTTTCTTACAGAACAGTGGTTGTCCTCGTTATTAACAGTAGATTGTATTTGTCCCCGGCCAAAGGGGTCTGGGAATAGGATCCAGTCTTCTAACCCTCTCCCGTCCATTCTAGATCTGAGCATCCCAGGATGATGTAATTTTCATCGTTTTTTTTTTTTTTTTTTTTTTTACAATTTAATCCCCCCTCCCCATCCCTCCATGCCCATAAAAAAATAAACGGTCCCTTGAGTGTAAATTGTGAATGAGCACCAGTCATTTTATTTCACTTCCCAATCCTTTTATAACCGGGCCGATTTCAGAATATAATTTTTATTGCAATATTCACTCCAGGTGGCTGATAGAATGCTCCATTGAGTGTGGTTTATGGGGACTCCGATGTCTGATCAACAGTCACTCAGATATCAGCGACTTCATGCAGCATGAAGAGGCAATCAATTTGTGTAAAAGCATCTTGAAGGTAGGTATACCAAGGAAACGACTAAATCAGTTTCGTTTTATCGGGCCGCTTTGTAGGGAGCGTTCTTCGTTTACCAGTCCCTGACAAGGTCTGCGTTGAAACCATGAATACGTGCTAAGAGATTCCACATTTTCTTTTAAAGCTTACGATCTAAGTGATTTATTCTTTTCTTATTTTTGATCTACTGTAGAAGAGAGACGACAGTATGATTTCCATGGTGAAGGAAATACTGCTGTCTTTATTAAAACAAGCAGTGAGGACTGAGTCCATGGATAATATCAGAGATATTCTTGTGACTTGCAGGTAAATAGACAACTGATCGATTGTCCTGCTGTTATCCTATCAAGCGACCTACTAACCAGTCCACTTACTCATCGAACCACTCAATGCAACCAGCCAACCACTCAATCAGACAAACAACCAACTACGTCACCCATCAACAACCAGTGTACCAACCTACCAACTAACCTAACAACCCAATCACACAAAGGCTAACCAAACAATTAGACAACCGACCATCCAACCGAGTGACTCATTAACAACCAGTGTACCAACTAACCTAACAACCCAAGCACCCAAAAGCTATAACCAAACAATTAGACAACCCACCATCCAACCGAGTGACTCATTAATAACCAGTGTACCAACTAACCTAACAACCCAATCACACAAAAGCTAACCAAACAATTAGACAACCAACCATCCAACCGAGTGACTCATTAACAACCAGTGTACCAACTATCCTTACAACCCAATTATCCGACAACAACTGACCAGATGACCACACAAGCCAACCAGCCAACTAACCCAGTTACCCACAAACAACTATAGTACCAACAAACTAACATACCAACCCAGTCACCGTTCACCAACAACTGACCAAACAACCAGACAATCAACTAAACAAACAAACTAAAGAAGCTAAAATCATATATCAATTTACTCATCGACCAAGCATACAGCCAACTCCATCAATGGAAAACAACCAAACAAAAAACCAGCTCACCCAACCATACCCACAAACCAAAACACCTCCAATAACCTCAGTACAGACTTTACCCATTTCACCCACCAAACAGTTTCCATAATCTGTAGTCTGGATCCGGTAACGGGAAAATATTATTTTCTTTTAAAATGTTCCTTCTTAAGTCAAAACAGAGAGAGCCACACAGCTACTTATTAACACCATCATGGGTGAAGCCACCCACCACAAACAGAGAGAGCCACAGAGCTACTTATTGACACCATCATGGGTGAAGCCACCCACCACAAACAGA